AGATTAATCTAAAATAGTACTTAATATCAATTATATGTTAATTAATATTAACTTACAATCTAATGTTGATTTAAATAATTTAATATTTGACACAATATATCTAAAATATTAATAATTTCAACAAGTAATAAATTAAAAATTATTAATAAGATATTTTACTTTTTTTTTTTGGTATTAAGTCTTTGAAATCTGGAAGGTATTTCCCACTTACAGTCATCTCAGTTTGAACCAGCCACATTTTAAATGTTCAGTAGCCACCATTAGACAGTGCAGCTTAGGCTACAAAATAAGCTATACCAAAGTCGAAAGGTTTCTAATGTTACCAGAGTGAACCTATTTTAAGCATTACTTAAATCACAAGTCAAGAAATTCTTTTTCTAAATATTCTGAGCCGACTGAAGTTTTCTTTTCAATCGCCTTGACACACAGTTTATTCCATATATAAGAAAATTATCATCACCACATGAGATGTTAGCATATCAATGCTGCTGCCAACCACATTAAGATCGGAAAACGCTAAACCACAGCCTCCTTTTGGGAACAGAATCTCTAGATGATTATCAAAGAAAGGATATAAAAAGGTATTCTTGGCCAAACACGTGAGTAGACCATTACATTAAATAGGTCCCTGCAGTTTATCTCAATAGAATGCCAAAACCAAGGATTTAAAGAAATATTCCACATTAAAGGTGGGCTTTTTTCCCTCCTTTCCTTCATTTTCTGGCCAGAAAGGTGAAGATCAACGTCAACAATATTCTTTTTTTTTTTTTTTTTTTAAAGATTTTATTTATTTTTTAGAGAGTGAGCGAGAGAGAAACAGCATGAGAGGGGCGAGGGTCAGAGGGAGAAGCAGGCTCCCCGCTGAGCCGGGAGCCCGATGCGGGACTCGATCCCAGGACCCTGGGATCATGACCTGAGCCGAAGGCAGACGCTTAACCATCTGAGCCACCCAGGCGCCCTAACGTCAACAATATTCTTAAAATCAGCTTTGCCCAGGCCCAGATATGCTGTGTCCCACCACGGACAGCCCTGGAAGGGGGTCTTGGCTTCCTCCTGACCCCCAGGAAGCAAGTAATAGGGCCATTTTCATGAGCACAGAAAGAGCAACTACTACTGAACTAATGACAGATGGGATGGAAGCAGAACAATGAGAGTAGGGACAGGAATGCACAGCATGTTCGCCTGTCTCAGACCTAATGTTACTCTGGGTACAACTTCACTGGGCTCATGTTAAATATTCTCAAATTCTCACGGGAGAGAGAGAGAGAGACTAAGTTTAATAAAACAACAAGAAGGCATTTCACTTCCTTCAAGGTAGAGATCATAAGTCTGTTGCTCTATTTCCTTTTGTCCCCTTCAAGAAGCATCTACTACAGTCTGTGCAGTAACTTTCTGGTGACCCGATTCCTAAGAGCTGAGCTCTTATTTCAACTCTGAATGAGAGGACAGAGAGAGAAGCTAAAGAGATCAGATGCACAAGAGTGCAACAACTTTTACAGTATTTCAGGCAGTGGGATGCGTGGGTGGCTCAGTCGTTAAGCATCTGCCTTCTGCGCAGGTCAGGATCCCAGGGTCCTGGGATCGAGCCCCAGGTCGGGCTCCCTGCTCGGCGGGAAGCCTGCTTCTCCCTCTCCCACTCCCCCCGCTTGTGTTCCCTCTCTCGCTGTGTCTCTCTCTGTCAAATAAATAAGATCTTAAAAAAATATTTCAGGAAGTATTTGAGTCTTTTTGGTCTCTGGTATCATCCTGCCATTTGAGCTGATGTTGGGATGAACAAAGTTCTCTAGTGTTTCCGATCTTATAAATGCCACCAAAGAAAAAGTGAGCAGATTAGTTAGGGAGATACAGGTGGCTGTGAAGGATGGTGTTTATTTAATTCGCTAAGATCCCAGGCTGAAATGGGAGGCCACGCAGGCTTTCACTACAGTTGCCAGCTCAACGGGGCCGTGGCCACAAAGACCACCTGCCTCTCTGGGTTCAAAACCTGTCCTCCGAAAGCTGTTGCCGGAGCCCTGATGCCATTCTAAGAATGATTATGAATGACGTGATGGTCGTCACCAAGTGCCATTCTGACCTGACACGCAACAGCATTCTGCAGGTTGTACAGTCAAAAGGAGCTACCATCACCGCTCTGTGGTTGAGGAAACCAAGGCCTAATGGGGTGAAGTGATGTTTCACACAGCCAGCTCACGGGGCAAAATTGAAAGCCATGTTTCCTAACTCCCAGTTCAGGACTGAAGTTTCTTCTGACACTCTGTTCTATGACCCTGCCACCCTCGCCGCCTCACCCACTCCCCCCGAAGTCTACCACCATTCTCCTGCATTCCCACTGGGCCACCCAGGCCCTGAGTTAGCTGTCCTGGGACAGGCCTTGCTTCCTAAGACATGAGCTCATTAAGTCCTCCTTATTAATGGGTCAATGGGCACTAGCAAGCTAGATGTTCGGTGCCTTCCCAAACCACCTATCTGTTTTCAAGAAATTTACTGGAGTTCAAGACCTGAGGAAGGATTCTAATTGGGAACTCAAATCCAAATTCTTGGTGCCTGAGGCCTAATTACCTCACTCTCTCAGGGTAGAAGAGAGCCATGTTCCACACCAGCATGCCTCCCCAGTCGTGGCCAATGAACACCGCTTGAGGGATGCCCTAGAGAAGGACAAAGACGGGAGCTGAATGTGAGTGGGCTACCGGGTCGGGGTGCTGAGAGCCCTGAGGCCTTGTGCTCCCTGTAGGCCCAAACCCTCAGTGCCGGCAGGGACTCCCCCTCCACCGACCCCGCAGTGTCTACTCCAATGTCCACCCTCTTCAAGCCTCCCTTCCCACACAAAACGGCCCCAGAGAACCTCTACAGCTGACTGATCTTTTATATTTTCTCAGAAGCCTAAGGCCACAGGCTCCAAATTCCCTCTCCCTCTCTACTTCCCCTCAAATCGAAATTTGTTTCACCTCTTTTTCTACTTTTTGTCTTAAAGTTAGTATGACTCACCTCCCTGCGCTCCATGTTCAGCTTTCATTGAGTGATTATGATTCTACTCCCCACTCTTTTGGAATCTTTCCTCCCTCAACTAACCACTGAAACCTCAAAGGCATCTTTAATCCCTCCCTCTCTACCTGCAGCTTCCTTTCTTCTGCTGCTACCAACAGTGAATGACAACAGCTCCCTTTTGTGGAGGACCTACTAGGTCAAAAGCACTGTGCTAAGTGCCTACACCTCTTGTCTGGAACTCCTCCATAACCTTCTCATGCACAATAGGGAGACAGGCTCACAGTGGTTAGGCGACCTGCCCGAGGCCACATAGATGGTCATCCAGACCCATGCCTCCCCAACTTAAAGTCGGAGTCTCTCCCCCACCCCCTGCTGGCCACATTCCTCACCACCACCGTGGAAAGTGGCTCCCTGACTCAGCTCCCTGCCACGCTCTGTCTTCACGGTGCCCAGCTTCTCACAGTGATCTACCCCAGTGGCCTCCCTGGCGACCTTCTAAGTCCCTGCATCCTGACTTCTTCCCTGCGACCACTGAGTCCACTGAAGCTTCCCTCTTAAAGGCTATTTTATCACTTCTAATAGTTTTTTTTTTTCCTCTTGGCTCTCACTCTTCTGACTCTTCTGCGGCATCAGACATTTCCTTTGAAATGTTCTTCCCTGGGCTTCTGTGACACTATGCTTTCTAGACTGTTTTCTCACTTCATGGAGTCTACTCCTTCCTCTTCTGTCACACGGGAGTACTTCACGGCTCAGCCCTCAGTCCTGTCTGGGGAACTCCTCTGCTCCCATGACTTCAGCCACCACCTCCAGGTGGAAGACGACCACCTCACCTGCGATGGGCCCAGCTTCCTTCCCCTGCATCCCAGGAATGACGGGGGGGACACCTAGCCCGCCAGCAACCCCACGAGGGCTCTCTTTCAACAGAGTCAGAGACTGTCTCAGCCAGCCGGAAATCTTCCAGATAGGAGGTCACTCTAGAGTCAGAACTGGGGTGGCCACACTGGGCCATGTCCTCTTAGATGTCCCTATCATTCTCAAAAGGTCCAAAGCCAATTCTGTGGGACTGAGAATTTGGAGAGGGCAGGGACCGTGACATCTTTGTGTCATTTCCTACAGGGTGGGCCCCCAGGCCCTGCTGCTGAACTGGAAGCCCTCAGTCATCTCAAATTCTCCTCCCGACTCTCATATCCAATGAACAGGCACTAAATCGCGGTTTTCAGGTTCTCTCTCAGCTGTCCCTCCACTGTCACTGTCCTGGCTTAACCCTTCTCCCCCTCAGTCCAGGCTGCGTGACCTAACTCAGGGTGGGAGAAGCGTATTACCTAATTGCAATCTCAATTCCGTAAGTAAAAAGCAAAAGTATAGTCTCTGATCACCATCGCTGATCTGCTTTTTGTTTGGCATTGCCATTCCAAACAAGGTTACCTGAAGGCACTTGATTCGAGGTATTTCTAAAGGGATGTCAATCTTAAAAAGTTGCAAAATATTAGCCTATAGGATAGTTTCCAAACTTCCTGACGCAAGCAAAGCTCTTTACCCTGACTTAAAGCCAACAGAGGGATCCTGTTCCCTGGAAAATGCTTTCCGTGAAACAAACAAAAAAAAAAACAAAACAAATGTGGCTCTGCACTGTTCTCCACACACTTTGCCACCTCTGTGCTTGTAATTCCTCCTGACCACCGACCCTGCCTCCCACGGCCCCATAGTGGACCATTCCTGCCCTCGCCACTCTCCTCGGGGGCTCTAACAGTGGAAACCTTCAAAGGCTGCATCTTTAACTGCCCACCCAAACAGAAGTCTCCAGGGATCAGTTCAAAATAATTACTTACCAACTTATCCAGGAAGGTTACTATCTCCTAAGAAAGAAAACACACCAAAAAATCAGAAATTGTACGCACCCACCTCAGCTGCTTCCAGATGGGAATTCCTGTGTCTGCTTTGTTAGGGGCTGCATTGTATTCACATGCTCAAGCCCTAACCTCTCCCCTCCAGGACCTTGGAATGTGGCTGTATTTGGAGGTAGGGTCCTTAAAGGTGATCAAGTTAAAATGAGGTCATTAGAGTGGGCCAGGATCCAAGCTGACTGGCATCCTTACGAGAACAAAAGATTTGGACATAGACCCACACAGAGGGAAGCCCATGTGAAGACACAGGGAACAGGGAGAAACGGCCATCCACAAGCCTCAGATGAAACTCTGCTGTCACCTTGATCTCGGACTCCAGCCTCTAGAACTGTGAGAGAAGAAATGTCTGTTGTTGAAGCCCCCCAGTCTGTGGTCCTCTGTTATGGTGGCCCGAGCACACTAATACAATGTTCAGTCATTTCCCAAGCTCGTGAGCTCTCTCCCTTCCCTTTCCAGCATCCTCTCAGGAACCAGGTAGACCCCAGACACACACAGCAAATTTTCCAGGGTCTGTCACTGCACATCCCTAACTGGGCCAGATCTGTTGTAAGACAGAAATCGTGGCTTCTTCCTGGGACAAAGAGAGGGGAAGAAAACTGCTGTGGAGAGGTCTGGCTGCTTTCTTGCCCCAGGACAGCAAGCACCTGCCCTTTGTCCCGCAGCACAGACGCGGACGCCTGGCCACACTCGTCAGCAAGCACGGGGTCTAGAAAAGGTGTCTAAGATGTGTGGAGGTGTTGGAGATGAGGGTCCTCCAGAATCGGGGCTGGGGCTATCATACTGGGCGAGGTACAAAATGAGCAAGTAGGGGAATCCTGCTGGGAATGGGGTGGCGGGGAGGGCAGAGCAGAGGTGTGGAGAAAATGAACCAGAGACCTGACAGGCCATTCAGCCCCTCCAGAAAGCCACATCGGCTTCCTGTTTCTCAGCCTCACGCCTCCTAAACGATCGCGTCTCATTTGTCAACACTACCCCCTATTCACCTGAGCCCGTATGAGAAGCTTCTGCTTGCTATAATAAAAAAGTCTATGGAGATGCTCATCTGTGGAGCCCTAGCTTGGCCCCAGGTGTAGTGTGATGCTCCTCACATTCATCACTTCCTTTCCCCGCACACGGACCTGCGGGGAGGAAGGGGTAGCTCCACTCTACAGATGAGTAAACTGAGGCTCACACGGGTCAAATGATGTGGCCAAGGCCATGGCAGAACTGGGACTGATTCCAGGTCTATGTGATTTCAGAAATTCAACATCGGAACATTCAAAGCCATCCTCTTTCACCATGTAGACTGACAGCGTTATTTTAAATTGTTTCCAGTCCCTTGACTCCTCCCCTCGGTCTACCAATTGAGAAGTAATCCTAATTTGCTTTCGATTGCCCAGATCAATGCCTTCACTGGGGGCTGCAGAGATTGCACCATGAGAGGCCGAAGACTTAAAAAATATACGTGATTGTATTTCCAACATCTACTCTTGTAGGTGTTTCCAAAATGAAAGGCGATTTTCTTCTCCTTCTCTAGGCTGGGCCTATTTCTTGTTCTACATTAAGCAAGGAGATGGAAATTTCAGGACAGTAGGAGGCAGGGAGAAGACGTGGGCCTTCCCACAGCCCTTGTATTCACTGCCCTAAGAGCATTAAAAAGTGTTCGGATGTTCTCCCCTCTGGTCTCAGTTCTGCTGGGGAAACCCACCAAATATGGGCATCCTTTTCTGTGGGGACCAGGGGGGACACAGAGTTCTGCCTACAGACAGTGCCAGCTTCAAAGAGAAAGAATTGTAAAGGTGTTCTGATTCCTTTTGCTACCCCGGCTCTCCACTGCTCCCCAGAACATGAGAAGGCAAGAGCAGATGACAAGTTCCACTGGCTAAAATACACACCACCTATTATTTTTCCAAGATGTAGATACACAGTATTGATGTAATTACCTAGTTTATTATTTTAGCAGTTTTTATTTTCACCTTTCCCCCCAAAGATAGGGAGAAAATTACTGGATGGTGTCAGGAAGACCTTTCCCCCCAAAGATAGGGCGACAATTACTGGATGGTGTCAGGAAGTCTTGTTCTGGACTGAATGTCTTTGTCCCTCAAAATTCACAGGTCAAAGCCCTAATCCCCAGTGTGACTGCATTTGAAGACAGGGTCTTTCCAGAAGTCATTAAGGTTCAATGAGGTCATGAGGGTGGGGTCCCGATCAGATAGGATTGGTGTCCCTTCCTTAGAAGAGACACCAGAGAGCTGCTTTTCACTTTGCAATTAACCACAGAGACTGAAGATTAGCTCAGTGTGATTTCCACATCCTACTGTTAAAAAGAAAGCCACAGGCCCCAAATGGCATCACTCAGGTGAAGGCCCCAATCAGTAAACCAACACTCAGTACCCAACCTGAGTGCAGTTTTCAGCCCCCCACAAACATAACCTCTAAGCAGTCAATGTGGGAATTTCCTGGTCAGCACGAGAAAATCACTGAGGGGCCCCCTCTATCCCCCTCAGAAGGGCGACTTTGCCTAAAACAATGGATTCTCTGCTGATCATTCCCTTCTTTCTACTCCCTCTCTACCTTTAAAAACCTTCCCTTTTCTGTAGCCCTTTGGAGCGCCCCTCTATTGCTAGATGGGATGTTGCCCGATTTATGAACTGATTGATAAAACCATTTAGAGCTTTACAATTTACTTGCTTGAATTTTTGCTGTTTAATGCTACAAACTGAGACTCACACTCAGGGTTGGAGGGGTCTAGGAGGACACTAAGTCCATCCACCTGCTGCATTTGATACTTGATGGCATGACCTGAAAAGGTTAAATGACTTACCCAAGGTCACACACAATGACGGAGACAAGTGGGTGTAGATAAGCCTCCCTACGTTAATGAACTTGAGAAGATACCATTATTGTTACGTTGCATTCCAACACCCCTAATTTGGAATCCTAAGACTATAGACATACAGAGAATAGGTTCATGGTTCCTTAAAGGTACCTATTCTAAAACAAGTAACAGTTGTATGATGAACTGGCACACAATGTTAAGGAATTGTGGTTGAGAAAAAAGAGGTTTCAATATATTTGGGGGGATGTAGTTGAGAAAAGGGTTTTTGTGGGCACTGAGGGTAAGCAGTATTATGGATCTTCATTCAGTTTCCTATAATCCTCTATTTCAAGATTATACAGGTTATTTTTTTTTAAAGATTATGCAGGGTATTTTAAATAACATTTTTCATTAAAAGTATTGTGCTAATTTTTCAAATGACAGCTCTACTGAGATATGATTCACATACCATAAAACTCACCCTTTAAAAATGTATAATTCAGCAGATTTTTAGTGTGGTCAGAGCTGTGAGGTCATCACTGCTACGTGGTTAGAGAACATTTCATCACAACAAAAAGAAACCCTATACCCATTAACAGTGACTCCTGTTCCCCATTACCCCTAGCCCTTGGCAACCACTAATTTCATTTCTGTCTCTATGCATTGACCCTTCTGGAAACTTCATATCAATGCAATTATACAATGTGTGGCCTTTTGGGACTGGCTTATCTTAGCATAAGGTTTGCAAGGTTCATTCATGATGAAGCATGCACCATGATTTCATGCCTGCTTATGGCGAATAATATTCCATTGTATGGATATGCCACACATTTTTAATCCATTTATCACTTGATGAACATTGGGGTAGTTTCCACTTTTTGGCTTTTGTGAATAATGCTGCTGTGAACATTCATGTCCCGGTTTTGGGGGGACATAGTTTTTTAAATTCTTTTAGGTGAAGACCTAGTAGCAGACGTACTAATGACTTTAAAGGGTGGAGTTGAAGGACTGGAGCATCACATTTTATCTTGCTTGTCTTAGTAAAAGGACCTTCCTCACAAGGGCAGTTACGTCAAGTGACCCAATTTATCTGCCTTGAGAACCGATTTCGACAGAAACAAGCAGGGGTCCAGTGAAGGGACAATAGAGGGATGGGGAGAGGCCCCACACAGGGTTGCTGGTGAGATCTTGGTAGGATTTCGGTGGGGGGGTACATGAGCAAGATCAGAAGTGGCAGAGTGGAAGAAGTAAAGACTTGGAAACTGAGGAAGGAAGGACAACCCTAACTGGAAAGTCGGGTTTTATCAAGGCTCCTCTCATGAGGCGCCAAAGCCTGCATGCGGGCCTGGTTGGAGGACAGTCTGAGCAGAGCTGTGACTCCTACATGGAGCCTTTTTGTAAATTTAGCATAATTAGCAGCATCGCCAGTTTTTTTTAGATTTTCTCAAAATTTATTTATTTGACAGAGAGAGAGAGAGCACAAGCAGGGGAAGCGGGAGAGGGAGAAGCAGGCTCCGCACTGAGCAGGGAGCCTGATGCGGGGCTCGATCCCAGGACCCTGGGATCATGACCTGAGCTGAAGGCAGATGCCTAACCGACTGAGCCACCCAGCTGTCCCTAGTGTTGCCAGTTTTATGGCCAACCAGGACGCTGTGTCTTTCCCTCGGCCCCTCCAGCCTTGGTTTCTGCCCTAGGGCTGATGGAGGCTTGGCGCCCAGTCTCCTCACCTCAGCCTTGGCAAGGTCTGAGATTAGGGCCCCTCCCCGATGGTGCTCATGCTTCACTTAGAACAGGAGCGCCATTACATCCGCCAAGCCACACTGACTCCCTCGGTCTGGCCAACAACATCTCTACCAAAATAAGGTGATTTTTTAAAATTCTCAGGATGGAAAGGCGAGATGGTGGAGTGGCCACAAGGAGGGACGTGGGAGCTATTTCAGTGTTCAGACCTGGCTCTACCCGCTGTTGACCTCCGGCAATTACTTTACTTCCTCATGACTCAGTTTCCTCTTCCATCAAGTGGCTTAGAACAGTAACCGATAGACAGTAAGTGTTGGCTATCATTTTTAAAATACCATCTTAAATTTCAGTAAGACTTTTATACTCAAATGCTGTGAAATGCTTTCCTAGGATTTTAAATGAATATCCACACTTCTGTCTTGTATCAGTAAAAACACCAGGATGGAAAAAATGTTACAAATGTTACCCAAAGATCTTTCTTACCTGGCATAACACTTCCATGGAATATTCTTCTATTTCTGCAATTAAAAAGAAATACAGTTAATTCACATGACTGAAAATTACCAACAAACTAAAAGGGCCCCTTTGCCCCAAAATAGATATCTTATTAAATCTTTAGATTGATGTAGTCTACTTGTTTATTTTTTTTTTGTTGCCTGGGCTTTTGGTATCATGTCCATGAAATCATTGCCAGAATCAATATGTTTTCTTCTAAAAGTTTTAGTTTCAGGTCTTATATTTAAGTCTTTAATCCATTTTGAGTTGATTTTTGGGTATGGTGCAAGGTAAGGGTCCAATTGTATCCTTTTGCATGTGGATATCCAATTTCCCTAGCATCATTTAGTGAAGAGACTGTCCTTTCCCCAGTGTATGTCCTTGGCACCTATGTCAAAAATCAGCTGACCGGGACGCCTGGGTGGCTCAGTCGGTTAAGCGTCTGCCTTCAGCTCAGGTCATGATCCCAGAGTCCTGGGATCGAGTCCCGCATTGGGCTCCCTGCTCCGTGGGGAGCCTGCTTCTCCCTCTGCCTCTGCCTCTCTTTCTCTCTCATGAATAAATAAATAAAAATCTTTAAAAAAAAAATCAGCTGACCATACATGTGTGGATTTATTTCTGGGCTCTCTATTCTGTTCTATTGGCTATATGTCTGTCTTTATACCAATACCACATTATTTTGATTACTGTCGCGTTGTAATATATTTTGAAATCAGGAAGTGTAAGTCCTTCCAGCTTTGCTCTTTCTAAAGATTGATTCGACTATCTGGGGTCTTTTGTGGGTCCATATGAATTGTAGACTTTTTTCTGTTTCTGTAAAAAAACGCCATTGGGATTTTGATAGGGATTGCACTGAATCTGTAGATCACTTTGGGTAGTATGAACATTTTAACAATAACAGCAATTCCAAGAGGAAAAAAGAAAAGAGAAAACAGAAGAAAAAAATTATCAAAGAAATAATTCAAGAAACTTCCAAGAACTTAAAGATAAATGTACCCAGAAAAGTGGATGAAAAGAGACCCACATCATGGCACAATATCATAAAATTTTATAACACAAGAAGATAAAGATCCTAAAGGTATTAAGGGTAAGGAGAAAAAAAAAAAACAGGCACATAGAAAGCCTCGTGGATCCGAACAGCATGGGATTTTTTAATAGCAACAAGGGAAGATAGAAAATAGTGGGACAACAGCTTCACAGTTTTAAGGGAAAACAATTTGTTACTTAAAATCTATTGCCAAATGTACGAAATTTATACACAAATGATCTGCAATGTGTATGTATGCATTCCAAATCATCATGCTTGGCTTTAGAACTCATGTTATATATAATCTTCAGCAATGGTTAACATGTAAATTATTGTTTTCTCTTTTTTTGAAGATTTTATTTATTTATTTCAGAGAGGGGGAGAGAGAGAGAACGCGAGCATGGGGTGGGGGGAGGGGCAGAAGGAGAGGGAGAATGAGAATCTCAAGCAGACTCTGTGCTGAGCATGGAACCTCACACGGGGCTTGATCTCACGACCCTGAGATCATGACCTTAGCTGAAACCAAGAGTCAGTCGCTCAACCGACTGAGCCACCCAGGCACCCTGTAAATTATTGTTTTCTTAACAAGTAGTTATAATCAGAGTGTGTATAACCACAAGTCCCAGTTCATCCAGAAGAGTTCTATTTATGTGTGTTACTACTAATAGTGTTTCTCTTACTTTCAATGGTGTTCTAGTATGAATGATAAATTAATTACTAAGTTATCCCTAGGGGATTCAGGGAAGATCATAGTCTAGATGAATGAAAATAGACATTTTAATAATTAAATTGGAAAAAAAGAATCCTTCAATGTCTTTCCTAGACGTCTGGACTGGATGCTTTCTTTTTGTCTAAAAGGTAGACCATGCAAGAGGTAGTAAGCAGCCGCTGAGTGGGTACCATGACATTTTGGGAACAATCATGGCTGCAGTCCCCGGTCCCGACAGGCTGAATGGCCTCGTTGGTGGTCACCTGAGTGCCAGTTCATGTCAGCTGGCTTCAAACTCGACAGGCTTGACGTGAACATGGGGGAAGCAGCTCAGAGAAGGGTGGTGAGCGGCTGGTTTGGCTCACTGAGCTACCGCTGTCAGCCGCATGGCTGACACTAGGAGGGACAGGGATTCTGTTACATGTCTGACTGCATCACGTTCCTATCTCTCCCTGGGGAGCTGAACAGTGTGGGACTGAGAAGCCCCCTGAAACCCATAAAAGCAGTAGACTCCCTCGCCCCAGGAAGGTGCTCATAAACCCACGCATGGACTTGTGTTCATAGGCCCCCAGTGCCCATCCTTGGATAGATGCCAAATGGGATCCATAGACACTGGGTTAAGAATCTGGCCTACCAATTACCATACGATCCAGCAACTCCACTTCTGGGTATATACCCCAAAGAGTTGAAAGGAGGAACTCAAGGAGATATTTGCACACCCATGTTCATAGCAGCATTATTCACATTAACCAGAAGGTGGAGGAAACCCAAATGTCCATCAATGGATGGGTGAATAAACAAAACGTGGTCTATACATACAATGAAATATTATTCAGCTTTAAAAAGGAAGGAAACTGTGATATATGCTACAACATGGAGGAATCTTAAAGACGTTATGCTAAGTGAAATCAGCCAGTCACTGAAGGATAAATATTGTATGATGCATTTAGAGATACCTGGAGTAGTCAAATTCATAGATAGAGAGCAGAAGGGTAGTTGCCAGGGGCTAGGGAAGGGAGAACGGGGGATAAGTGCTTAATGGTACAGAGTTCTGCAAGATAGAAAAAGTTCTGTAGCTGGATGGTACTTCCTATACCCTACATCCAGCACGAGACTTCCTCAGGCCACTGGGTTTCTTGTATTCATTCAGAGTATGGGGAACAGAGACATCTGAGCCCAAAGAGTATAGACAAGGGTCACTGCAGGAGAGGGGAAGGGCAAAGTCAGACCCCCCCTCAAGGGCTATCTGCTCTGACATGGGACCAGGGGCTGACAGTGCAGTTGGAGAGCTCAGGCAGTCAGAAGGCATGACCAACATAGGACAGCTGTGAGACAGCTAACCTACCAGGAGGAGCAGATGATTCTCCATAGCCTTTCATGTCCAGAGCTAGTACCCGGAAACCCGCCTGAGCCAGAGCAGGGATCTGGAAAACAAACAGTTTGGGAACGCTCAGGTGTGGTCTCAACAGTCTTTTGCAGACACTCCTTCTTTGCTTCCTTCTATTCACGTTCTTGTAAATGGTTCAACTCAAAGTGCCATGTGGCACTATCTGGGATCCTTGCCATGAGGCTGGAATGAGCCCATCTGGATAGGGCTGCCACGGACAGTGGTAGGGTCTGTGTACTGCATCTAATACTACATCTAAGAGAGCACTTTTCTTAGCAAAGACTTTGCAGATTTCCATATTCATTACAAAGACTTCCCAGCAGGTGGCATAAAGTGTCCTGAAGAATCTGCCTTCTTCTAATCTGCAAAGATGGTATGTGGGCTAGCACAGCCCTGAGGTCTGCACCCATCGCTGGCTCCAACACTTCTGAGGTATCATGGTCATCATTGGAGACAATGCTCCACTACAAGGTTTCAGCTTCTTTTTAAGATTTATTTATTTATTTATTTGAGAGAGAGAGAGAGAGAGACAGAGGGCATGAGAGAGAGTGAGCATGAGCGGGGTGAAGGGCAGAGGGAGAGGGAGAAGCAGCCTCACCACTGAGCAAGGAGCCCAATGCGGGGCTTGATCCCAGGACCCCGGGATCATGACCTGAGCCGAAGGCAGACACTTAACAGACTGAGCCACCCAGGAGACCCAAGGTTTCAGCTTCTTAATGGCATTCTACACTGGGCCACACCATCTAGACCTCCCTCTCCCTTCACCTTGACTAGGGCAGACCTTCCCCCAGTTTCCTTTACCTGGTACCGCCAAGAGAACCAGCTCTCAGGAAATCCATGGCAGAGACACACAGCAGGTCCGGAGCCCAGCTCCACAAAATGCAGACGCACCCCAGGCTGTAGAAAAGAGAGGTGAACAGAAAATGACCACAGCGCCAGGCTGGACAGAACCAGCTCGTCTTCTGCAGATCGCGCTGGGCCATCTCTGGGTACTGCCGGACCTCACAATTTCTCAGCCCAAGACCCCGATGCCAGGAGGAGATGTTCAAGAAGACACAACTGGCCAAACTGCAATAAAACTGGCAGCTTCTATAGGAACATAGGAGGCCTGAAAAGAAGGTTATAATGTTGGAAAAAAAAACAAAAACAAAAGCAAAACAACTTTGCCTTCCTCCCTAAGAGGCCCTAATAGTGTCAGAGTTTCCAGTACTGTTTGACTGGTCTGTCTTCCATATTTTAAACTGGGGCTGATTTTGTGCACAGCATAATATTCATGTTAACATGCAGAATACCAGGATTACTTTGTTAAAAACTGTTTTTCTCTTGAATGCAAAATCTTTTCCAAGCTTTGCTACACTTGGAGTGCTTTCTGGGCTGTGTGTCAGAGCCTGCTAGAGCTCCATGTCTGTGTTCTCTCCCTGGCACATGACAACATTTTCCAGACCTCCCCCCACTTCCTTGCAATGGGTGCGGCCATGGGACCAAGTTCTGGCCAATGGCCTATGAGAATGAAGAAATGTGTGCTACATCCTGGGCTTATATAAACCTCCCACGCGTGGTCCTCCCTCTTTTCCTATCTGCCCCTGAAGAGTTTGGGCCTCGGGTGAGGTAGAGCCAGCAGAAAGGAGATGGGCTACTTGATGACTGCATGGAGAGAGCCCACTTCTACCCCATACTGGACTGTCTGGCAAGCAAGGAATAAACTTGATGTTGAGCCACCAGAAGTTTGGGATGGTTTGTTTTAGTACTTAACCTATTCCAATTATTACCATGTGGTCTAAGCACATGAACTAAAGCAATATCCAATCAGAGTGCTCTATTTCCCCCAAAAAGTATCTCCAACTTTCTAATGGACATAAATGGGAAAAATAAGCTTTACGTATGGAAATTCACTTGGTACAATTCTATGTAGCTGCATCTCAGATTACTCCAAGCTCATGTTCTAACCGGAAGTTTCATTTATGATTCCCAGCGAGTTACTCTGCTCAAGAAAACATTAGGCTGACATTTCACAAACTCTTTCATGGTCTACAATCTTATCAGAATATGTTCCATAGTCTTCTCATTAGTACTTGGCAAAGGAAGGGATTTAACTTGAAATTCTATCCCTTATATTGAAAAGGGTTGCAGTACTGATGTCCAGGGAAATGATCCTAACATGCCCCAGCTCTAAATGGATCCTAAACTAAGAGTCTCCCTTTTGCTGCTCAGCATATGCACATACTTTCCCATCCTTTAAATGATATGTTAATAAAATTGCCATAAAGCCAGAAAACAAGAAAGACCTAACCCAGCTTGTGTGGCATTAGTATTCAGTGGAGATCGATGGAATAGCGCCCCACAGAGTGGGGCTTGGCTGGGACTCCCCAAAGGTCACAGCCCCAGGCCTTTAATTTGGGGTGAAGACAGAGGGGGTGATAAAGCAGTTCTGATCACCCTCCTTCAAGGTCAAATGAGAAAGGTATTGAAACTGACTGGACCTGCGAGCCTCAAGAGGATTATGGAATAACCCTGTCTATGGGGTTGAAGACACAAGGTCACAGCCCAGATCCCAGGCCGAGAGCCCCTTGCTTATTGATACTGGAGACGAGGTCTGAAGGGACCTCATGAAGCGTTCACCCCTTCAGGAGTGCCCAGGGTTACAGGAGGGGCTGGGCTGACCCTGACAGTAGCTTTAGCCCTTTCTTACTACCCAGCTCACACTTATCTTTTCATGCCCACTTCACCATCGCTGCTAAACATTTCCCGATGCAGCCTCCACCCTCACGGAGCCCATCTCCAGCGTGCTGGGGCACCGCCATCAGACAAGGACCCCATCCTGGGTTGTAACTGCAGGGGCTGGGGATGTGTATCTCACTAGACTGCAAAATTCCTGAGGTCTTAGAAGATACTCCATTCATCTCGGTATTTCTCTCTGTGCCCCGAAAACAACAAATACTCAATAAATCCTTGAGGGGCTGTCCTCCAAGCAGCAGGACTTCCCCTGGATCTGGAGACCTGCCCCATTCATGCCACCAGCTCTCTCCTTCATCAGCTACAGTTTATGGAGCACAGAGGTGCCGGGTACAATGCCCCATGGTCTACATACGGTATTTCAATGACAGTTGACCCTTGCACAATGTGGGGATAAGGGGCACTGACCCCCACCCATGTAGTTAAAAATAGCATATAACTTCACTCCCCCAAAACTTAACTCCTACTAGGTTCCTATTGACTGGAAGCCTTACCGATAGCAGTCGATGAACACCTATTTTGCATTATGTGTATTATATACTATAATCTTATAAAGTGAGCTAGAGAAAAGAAAACGTTCTTAAGAAAATCCTAAGGAAGGGAAAATACATCTACAGCACTGTACTGTACAAAATCCTCAGATAAGTGGACCCATGCTGTTCAAACCCATGTTGTTCAAGGGTCAAGTGTAATCTATACAAGAACACTGAAGGGAGGTATTAGCATCACCTCATTATAAAGCTGTGTACACTGAGATTCAGAGTGATAAAAAAATGTACCTAAATTTGCAAACTTAGTGCCGAAGCCAGGATTCACACTGGTTCTATCTGGCCCAAAGCAACTGTCCCATCTTGTTTTTTTATGAGCTGTTCTAGGTCTCTTCCCATTTAAATGGGACCAATGACAAATGAAGAAGGATTCCAAGGTGAATCCACAAAGACATTCTACCACCCTGCTCTGTATCCTGGCTGGCTCGGGAGTCGGGGCCGCTCTGCACATGGCCTTGGCCTTGCCGTAGCCTTGACCACAGCTGTTTTAATGACTAATTCTGTCTCTTTATCCTCGCTACGGGTTCCTTGAGGATGGGTCTGTCTTGTTCCTCACTGCATCCCTCGTATCTGGCCCATGGCTGACACCACGGCAGTGCTTGATAAATACCTGCTGGATGAAAACAGGTCCTGCCCAGATCACAGGCCAGACACAGATGCACGTCAGCATGCCTGGGCTACTCAAGGCCCCGTGTGACCCGTTTTTCCATGGGAGTGGGAGTCTGACCGCATCCGTACACTGCTTTGTATATCCTAAGGCATGATCCATGTCTTGTGATTTTGGAGGAATGATTATATGGAGAAATGTTATTTCCCTATGAACAGTGGATGTTCAGCTACCCTTGATATTTAACAAATGTCTCTGCAGGCCATTGTAGGTGGGCTGGTCAGGGCGGACGCGGCTGACTGGGAGGGAGTGCTCACATACCTTTATTGGCACGTACCCGTGGCTCGCATCGCTCGGATTGCACGGGATTGACAGAGGGGCTGTGGCTCCGAAAAGCTGGAAGGAAAAGGGGACAGGGAGAGAGGGAGCAGGCTCCTTCTGTGAGAGGTTCTCAGACAGAGTTTCCCAAAGTCCAGAGTGCTGGCTCCAGGCATGTGTGTCACGGGCTCCTGCGTCCTCCAGGGGACTGCCCAGCCCTGTCCCTCTCCTGCAAGCACAGAGTTGTACTCATCTCCCCCTCCGTTTTAGTTCAGTGCAGCCCGTGACCGGGTCCTTCGGACAGAAGAGCGTGGCCTGTCAGCCTGGCTCCTTAAAATCCCCACGCCGTTCTCTGCATTTTCTATCGCCCCCCCGCCCCCTGCCTTCCGGCTGAGAGCCTGGTGTGACCCGGGAGAACACAGCAGGGAAAGACGGTGGGTCCTCTGTCAAACCCGGGTCCTTGAACAGCTGCATGAAGCAAAGCCCCTGGCCACCACCGCCTGAACTTTACATCAGCAGGAAAGAAACACCACCTGCTCTAAAATGCTGAGCTTTCGTACTTCAAGGACTATAATCCTTCTCTATGGCAGTTCCTCAGGTGGTCACCCAGGCTCACGTTGGACACCACCGGGAGCGCAAAGTTCACACAGCAGCCATCCCATCACTGTGTGGCTCTGCTGAAGGGTCTCTCCTTCACGCTGGCCAAAATCAGACTCCCTGGGCCTTTGGATTCGTCTGCTCCAGCTGCCATTTACCATGCGCCACAGACTGGGTGACTGACACCACAGACATTTACGTCTCTCAGTTCTGGAAGCCGGGAGTCCAACACCTTGGTTGGTTCAGGCTTGGCTCCTCCTGAGTCCTCTCCCTTTGGCTTTGCACCTCTGCCCTGGGCCCTCACATGGTCTTTCTTAAGGGGCTTCTTTACCTTATTCATGTCAGGTTTCTTGAGACAGAAATGACAGGACAGGATGCTGACACATGTAAGCGAACTTATTCACAGGAAGGGACATATTAGCGACTCCTACTACCAGATCGCTCATCTTTAGTCCCAAATATGCGACCTAAGGAAGAAGTGGCTCCGACCTCTAAAGTGGGGGAAGTAAACCATGAAATTTATCTTCCTTTTTTAAACATGGAAGAGTCTGCCTGGATGTCCTCAGCGGGGGAATCAGAAGGCAAGCCCCCTATCTCCATCGCACCTGGAGAGGATTCAAGGTGTGGTGGGAGGGATGGGCAGCTGGGTGCCCTCTGATGGCAATGAGCCTTGTCCGGCCTGAGGGAGCCAAGACACTAACCAAGGACCAGGGTCCCTTGGGGCCCTTCTGCTGAGGTATCCCTGGCCTCCTAGGGGATGTCCTTCTCTTTCCAGGGGTGAGGGGATGGGGGTTTCCGGCTCTCACCGTTCTCCTGCTGTTTTTACAATTTACAAAGCCTGTTCAGGACTGAGTCCCATAGCCTTCCTGAGAGAGAAGAGGCAAGTCTCCTCCATTTAAAAAGGAATAGTTCTCATTCTTCCTTGTATCCTCCCCCTACTCTGGAGAAGACAGGTGAGGCATGGCTTACTTTCCCGATTATGGGACAGTTTTCTGTGACTCGTATGTGACGAGGGGACAACTAGTAAGTGGGACAAGCAGGTGGATGCTGGGATTCCAAGTCTGGGTGTTTTCTCCTCTGTTGCATGAGACTTCCAGGCTTGCTGAAGGACAGATCAAGCTTGGGCAAGACAGTTTATGGCTGTGAAGTCATTAGATAGATTTTATTTATTCGTTAAAGATGGAAAGTCAGGGGCACCTGGGTGACTCAGCCGGTTAAGCGTTTGCCTTCAGCTCAGGTCATGATCTCAGGGTCCTGTGATCAAGCCCTGCATTGGGCTCCCTGCTCAGAGGGGAGCCTGCTTCTCCCTCTCTTTCTGTCCCTCCCCCCACTCATGCTCACTCTGTCTCAAATAAATAAAATCTTAAAAAAAAAAAAGGATGAGATGGGTTAGCCCAGTGATGGAGCACTGGGTGTTATACGAAAACAATGAATCATGGAACACTACATCAAAAACTAATGATGTATTGTATGGTGACTAATATAATAAAATAAAATTAAAAAAAAAAAGATGAAAAGTCATTTGTCCCTATCGTGGGGGGCTAAATTGTGTCCCCTCCAAATTCATCGGTTGAAGTCTTAACCTCCAGGGCCTCAGAATGTGACTATGTTTGTAGATAAGGTCTTTAAAGGGGTCATTATGGTTAGAGGAGGTCACTGGAGTCAGAATCCAATCTGGCCGGTGTCCTTGTAAAAGAAGAGGACATTTGGACACACTGGGGGCAGACCATGTGAAGACACAGGGAGAATGTGGCCATCTACAAGCCAAGGAGAGAGGTCTTGGAAGGAACTGCCCTTGCCAACACCTTAATCTTGGGACTTCTGGCCTCTTCGTGAGACTGTTGTCTCGACCATCCAGTCTGTGTATTTTATGGCAGCTCAGGGAAACGGACACAGTGCC